AGGAGAGGTACAGGGAGTACAGTGGAGGTACAGGGAGTACAGTGGAAGTACAGGGAGTACAGTGGAAGTACATTGAAAATACAGCGGAAGAACAGGATAGTACAGTGGGAGTACGCACTCCAGGAGTCTCGCTTTTCCCTCCTTGAGTTGAACCCTTCACAGGGGCCTCTAGTTGATATTTATTTAACAGGTTGCTGTTGAATCAATGCTTAGCTTTTGTCTACTATTAGCTATACCGGATTATGAACATTATCAAACAAAATCAATCCTTATTCTGAGTGTGTTTTTTTGTCCAATACAAATGTTGAATTATATTCATTGATTAATTTTAGTTATAGAATATAAATGATTGATTTAATCGTCCATCCATGTCGTTAGTTTTTTATCAAAGCTAACTGTTGATCCCGGTTCGTAAAAAAAAATCCAACGGTCTGAGCGGTTCACCCATTTTTGTCAAATTTAGCAAGCACCAATTCAGTATCTGCTGCAAACCAAGGAAAACTCGTGTATTTAAGCTATATTTTCTTTTTCAAATACTGTGTTTATTTTAATTTTTTTTGCTTTTCATTTCTTTTTGTTGATTGAATATTTACTCTTCCAAATATTTTATACTTCCAAACGCTAATATTTCTTAAAATTTTAGTCAAAAGTAATGTTTCAAAATAGTCACCAGTGGCCGAGAATGAATTGAATTTGAACCAATAAAACTCAGTTCGGTTGAGCCTTTGGAGAGAATCAGTGGAAGAAACGATAATCTCGAATGTTTTTTGTTACAGTTTGGCGATGGACGATCATGAGTGTCTATAAATCTCTGACTGAAAAAATCACGAAGTAAGACGATGGTGAACAGGGGAAACTCAAGAAACATTTATGGCAGATAGTCATAGATCAAGTCATTGTATGAATCAGCTCGATACTTCTCGTTTTATCTTGTCCGTCATGATCATACAGTGTATGTGTCAAACTGGCAAAATCATCGAATAATGCACTGTTTGGAAGGAATCGTGCAAGGTAGTGTGGTCGTTGGTAGAAATGACTACGAAAAGAAAGCGAATCAATTTAACTGTTCGATGAGTTTGTCTCTCGATCTTGAGAGCAATCTTTATGCTACAGATACCATCAATAATCGAGTACAAGAGTTTTCTGTTGATCAGAATTCATAAGATTAGTTTCTAATTTTCATTTCGATGAATCAACTAAAAGAACATATTAAGAGCAATTGTGTACATGACAGTTGAGGAAGTTGGTTGTTCGAGTTTATTTTATCGCTTGCACGTAGCATTTGTTTCGTTGATCTCGATTTGATTTGAGAGAATCTCTTCGAGTTGAATGCAGCAGTATGAACACGATGAGAATTATCTTTTGAAAAAGTTACTGTTAAAAACATTTGTTCGTGTTGTTGTATTTAGAAAAGAAAACAATTGACACGAAGCGACCCATTAACAGAGATCAAATTGCATCTTAAATGAAGGTCAGATGATTGTCAGCAAATTCCGTTGAAGAATGTGTGTAGTGAGGTGTCAATCATCAAGAATGGTTTTACCATTAATATGCTTCAAATACTGATGACACGGTGTAAAGTTTTTCATCAGTTCAATACGAGTCTAAAGAATTAGTCGAGAAACTGTTTGTTTGTTTATTAGATGAAACATGTTAGTCAGCGCTTAGCTACTATGACTAAGCCACACTTTTACAAGAAACTCTGCTAAAGCCACAGCAACGGATTGAACATTTGATGTTCACATAGGATTCATACAGCCAAAAACATCATCAAATTGATCTAAATAATAGCTATTTAGTTAACGTCATTTTAGAAACTGGACTACCTGTTCAAAGATCAGTTAAGTTAAAATGAGCCTCATCAGATACACTTTTAGAATCATCAAAAAAAGCAAAATAAGATTTAAATTATTCTCAAATGAGTGAATTAAAGTCAATAAAATTACAGTTACGATAGTACTACTTAATGGATGTTTTTCAATTAAATAATGATGTCCACATTGTTATTTATTGATTTTACATATCATCAGCGTTTATGTTTCTTTTGCAGCCAGTAAAACACGACTTGAATAACTAAATTAGCTTAATACCAAATCATGCATACTATTTTTAACTATTGGTTTTCTAATTTTGGTGTTCTTTCTTCATCATTGAATTCTTTAATTGTACCTATCAGTAACGAAAACATTTTAATTTTCGTTCAAAAAAAATGCTTATCACAGACGACGATTTATTCGATGTTTATCTACCGATGCTATTTGACAGCTTTGAATAATTTAGTAAAGATCTCAAACTTCTAGTAATGTCATAGGTAACCTCTATTATATGAGACGAGTAGATTTCAATGACAAATTGTTAATAAATATATGGTATGAGAGAGCTTTTCTTCTATAAGGATGTAGACGTTCAAATCATTTTTGATCCCACTCACATCCATAACTCACACCCTTCAGGCTCTTGCCAATCATAGATAATTGGTTCTTGGTCAAGAATAAAGAAAAATAAGGATAATCTTTTTTGCCAATAATATTTTTTATTTTTGAACAAAAAATATGTTTCGAACCATTTTAAACATTTAATATTGTTTTTTATTGGATTCAGAATTACATTAAGTTTTTGATCCATAGATTCTTTCGGTGTAACGGATACAATATGGTAACGTTATCGAACACTTTTTCACTTGATATTCTCTCTGGCACTTATAATTTTTCATTTAACTCATTCATCATGAGAAATGGTTAACAAAGGAATGTTTCATTTCGCGGTGGATATGTTTATGTAGTATCATATCACTTTTATTTTTAATCACAGATTTCAGGACTGTTTAATATTTTCTCTCTTGATATTTTGATCTCTTCTTCTTCTCTGTTGTTGATCTCATTCACTTTCTTAATAACGACCATAAATAATCAAACAAATGTAAACCAATGTTATCTACACGCCTTCCTTACACATTCAAATTGAAACTTAGTTATTTCAACGAGCCATGAAGTAACATGTGGCACTTTTCAAAGATAACTCTGGATAGTACTATATTATAAAATAATCGAAAATTCAATTTTACGGTCTTCAGAGTTTTACAATGTGATTCAAAGACTATGTTTTGACAAATTTTTTTGAATTTGTGAACTGAGTGAAACATTCTGACATAAACGATTGTGTTGCTATGAGATAAAGAAAAATCCAGCTTGTTCAAACATGTTTCAAATGTTTTCACAAAAGACATTAACATTTTTTTTATAAAAAAATCCCAAATTCATTATAATGACGTCCATTCATATTCAACTATTGACAAAGGATATTGTTCAAAACTGAAATATCTCCATAGAGAAGGCAGGATGAAGAATATGTCATGTAGCATTTGTCTACAGAAAGTATCGCTTGTTTAAAAGTGATTGGAAAAGGCTCTGCTGCTTGACAGGTTGATCATTTATTATTTCAACTACTCATCTTTTTTGTAATGCATACTGAGATAACAATATCAATTTGGTTAAACATTATTTGCAAGCAATGTCACTACAAAAAGACTAACTAAATCGAATCAAATGCTCTTTAGAACTCCATGTAGCTTCATACCGTGGATATGAGAAGATTGTTGAGCCATTACTACATAAAAGTACCTGTCATGTAGCAATAAATAAGTATAATTGTACTCCGATTGATGAAGCTAAAACTGATAAAGTAAAACAAATGATTCGTCGTCGTATGAATAAGACTCGTTTCACCAGTGATTCTTTGGAGTGACTTCTTTCTAAAAATGATGTAGATTTTCAAGCACATGAACTGTTCTATCTTAGCCATATACTGGTACTTTCTTTGTGTTTGAAAGATAGGTTCACTTGTGTCTTTCTTTGTCTAATTACAATCGGCTTGTGTTATTGTATCTTGACAATAGTCTATTTCAGTTTTTTCTCTACTATGGATAGATTTATAAGGCTTGAATCTGTTGATTGTTGAAAGTTTCTTGTAACTTATCTGTTACTATCGCTTCTGCTCACAATAACATTTGATAAACACCTAAATGATAATATGATTTGTCAACGTAAGATACTATGCATTGTTCGAAATACATTTGTTGCCCCATATACCTTGAAGATGAAAGTTGTGTAAAGCGTAAAGATTAATATCAAGCATTGCTTTTCTCTTGTGTATACTTCGATGTAAAAAGAAAGCATTTCAGTATTGTTATTCATGCTGATTTTTCTCTATATATGAAAATAATTAATAAAAATTGACTAGGCATTTATGATGGATTTTTGCTCGTATCTAATTATGAAAAGCTAAAAAAAACAACAAATACTTGTTCATACAGATTTTATGAATGCAAGTCTGAAAATTCTACGATGTTATACTGAATAAGAATTTAATGATGTGCTAGCCAAAAAATAGTAACAATAAATATAAAGTTATATTCTTGATGTTTGTTTGGGTAGATGTGGGTGTAAATAAAGAGAAGAATAGATCCAGGATCAATTCATGGTAGATTCTTTAGAAAAATAAAGGTAATCTATTGGTGTTAATTCTTACGTATATTGTATTAAAATGACAAGACTACATAAATATTTTCAAATACGCATTGGTCTTTATTTTGTTTTGACAAATCTGTTTACAACTATTTTACTGATCATAGTTCTTTTTTTTAGATATCCACATCGTAAAATAATGTATTTTTTCCGGTGCAGAATAACTGTAGCATTTCATTAAAATATTATATAAATCTTCTACATATCATAGACACATTGATCATCGAAAATAATAAAAAAGGCGAGATATGAGGAAAAACATCATAGTTTAGTTTCATTGTGTTCAGATTTTCTACCTTACATATACGTTATTTTCAATTTATGAAGTCCTTCTACTAAGCATCATGCTCTCTGCACTATTGAAAAACTATAATAATTTTATTATATCTATTGGGATTATTGTAGAATATCAAATATATTTGTGATGAATAAAAGTTATATTTTCTTCTAATGTTATTTAAAAGTAAATTTCATAGTTTATGAACTTTTTAGAAGTAATCCATATGGTCTAATTGCTTTCTCATCAAATACTCGCCATGCCTTTCCAACTCGTACAGGATTTGCGTGTACTGTAAATTTTCCCGGTTGAACTCGACATTGGAACACAACTTGATAAGCCTTGCTTTTGTTGCTAGCATCTTTTATCGTAAACGGCTCAGTATAATTGGCAGCTCCTCCGTCACAATGTGTTGCCACATATATTCCTTTTACATCTGGAATCGATGGATTTTGCTTTTGCGCTTCAGCTTTCATGGCATCAGTCTTGAGTGAATTCTGTAACAATCCTTTATCTTTAATACCTTTCACAGCCTCCGATTTTGTTCCATGGTAAGCAACAGCCCATTCACCTGGACCATTATTCATACCAAGCCAAGCTTTATCATCCCGATATTTATCGTCGACTTTAAGGGCATGACGATACCAGCCTTGTGGAAAATAATATGGATAACCACCTCTTATATCTTCCTCAGCATGTGGATAGTCACGATTGTACCTAGGATCAAAATCTGATTGTTGCAACTGCAAAAATGTAAGTGCTGGTTCAAGTCTATATTCGTATTCTTCTGGAAACAGGTATTCCAATATACCTGAAAATTGTGGTGCCAACATCTTTTTCGATTTATCTTCCAATGATGTAAATGGTTTCTTTGATCGATCAGATAGAATACTTGGAGTTTTTGCCATCGAAACCTTAATTAATTTTTCTTTAACTTTGTCAGCAACTATTATTGTTTGATGAAGTTGAGGTGTGGTGATGCCGAGTTCAACAATAGCTGATGAAGCTGGTTTCACAGAAAATACTCGAATAAAGTCTTTATCACATTCTGCAAAAAGACACATATCGCTAATAACACTTAAGACAAAGTTTCGTAATGTTTCAGGTGATCGTGTCGTGTTCGTATAGTCAATATTCAAATGAAGGTTGAATTTGGCAGTTAGAAAATTTCCTTCGGAAGCGAGAAGTGAATGAATACTACCGAGATTGCTCACTCCGCATGCAGTTCGATAATCGCTATCATTATATTTATAGTCTGTATCACTAAAAGTCAGACGAGCACCAAGTTGACAAGCAAGTTCGTTAAGAACTACTACAAGTGTTTCAGTATTATCAACCTGGGCTAAAAATGGTTCGGCAACAAAATCAATCATTGTTGCTTTCTTGACCATGGAGCGATAGGTAGATAAGCATTCATATGTACGAACGACCGTAGTAGAACTTTTGTCGTAATTAGCAGGAAACTTAATGTTTTCTGGAGAGACAGGTCTTACTGGTTCGAACCATGCAGGTGTTACATCAACAGTAGCTTTTTCATTAGTAATTTGATTGGGCGTAACAATTGTTGTAGGTTTGCTAATAATCTTTGTTGGTATAGGAACAGCTGGTTGTGGCGGTGTCTTTAGGTCTAAAACATTTTCGTAGATTATTACAACATGCTATACAAGCACGATCTTGTAGGAGTGAATTGTGAAATACGATTTAAACTGCTTATTCTATTAGATGAAACGATTAAGCAATATGTCTTGNGCTTTTTCATTAGTAATTTGATTGGGCGTAACAATTGTTGTAGGTTTGCTAATAATCTTTGTTGGTATAGGAACAGCTGGTTGTGGCGGTGTCTTTAGGTCTAAAACATTTTCGTAGATTAATACAACATGCTATACAAGCACGATCTTGTAGGAGTGAAATGTGAAATACGATTAAGCTGCTTATTCTATTAGATGAAACGATTAAGCAATATGTCTTGCAGTTGATGAGTTACTACGTGTTGTGAATATGCCATAATTATGAAAGAAACTGATAATTGTGGCATATTGAAATAAGTTTGAATAGATCAGGAATCATGAATCTTAACTTCTTTTCTGTCTTAATTATTTAGAAGGAATACCTTACAAATAGATGAATCTTCGACATTTCTCTATATATAAGTCCCCATCTTCAACATTCACCGAAATATTCCGGCGTTCCCTATTCCCTTTACAAGGGACATCACTTGTTTGACTGAAAGCTGGGAACACTTTTCAGAGTGTTTTGAATTTAACAAAATTCAGGATAATTTCAACGAATAAAAACTGTAAGCAGGCGACTTCTATACTTTTCTAATTTTAATATCATAGATTGCTTTTAGTCATGTTTCAGCGTGATCGAAAAGAATTTTCAAAAGCATTTTTGCCAGGTTTAGAATCTGATTGGTGTCTAAAACTGCTAGTCTTAAAGTCTGTATGATAAACACTCGGTGTATGATCATAACTGGTTTTTGAAAATTCTCACGACTTTTGCATAATAACAACGAAAAAGATTGTTTGAAAGATTTCTGAAGAGTATATTTTTATAAAGATGGTCACCACTACAGAACTTTGACGTGAAGTTCAAAGTAAGGATGCGTTTGCTGAATCACTTCTTTTGCCATTATTTTTTATTATTTTGTAGAACTCACATATATTTTCGAAGAAAATAGTGAGTGTAAGTTTTTAAGGTCAAGTTTTTGCGGTTCCCCCCTCCCCCCTCTCCATTACAGACATCATAGCAACGGAAGCCCTCATTACAGACCTTAGCAATGGAACATAGCAGGCGTAAGATTTTTTTTTGCAAATTTGATTATGTTATAGTTTTGAAAAATAATGAATATCATTATTTGTAAGTTGATTAATATATATGAGGGACGTAAGATTTGCAGTAGATATCATTAATATGTAACACAGGCTTATTTGTCACTTATTTTATTTCAATGATTATAATAATAAGAATGTTAAATCAAGATGAATGAATTTTAAAAAAAGTAAAAAACAATGAGCAAATAGCAACAATGCAAACAAAAAATAGGGTACCCGTACAAAAAAAGTTTTAAAAGATTTTGTTCGAAATGCAGAAATTAGAGAGGTTCTTACTCTAGTGATTGATTATTCTGCAGAACAACTATAGCCTAAGATAGACTTTTCACTTTACGTATTTTGTACTAGTTGAATGAGACTAGAGAGCGTATGTGAGTTTCACATTTCAGCCCCAAAGGGGCTGCGTTAACGAGCTTTTTGGACGACACTTGGATGTTTGCTATAGGATACTATGGGCTATCTAATAATATAAAATAATCATCGAATTAGATTTATAAGGAGAATAAATAAAGATGTATGTGCTAAAAAGTGTGACATAATTTTTATCAAACTTTTAATTTTTTTGTTTGACATAGATAACAACTGATTTATATGAAAAGTAACATATCTAATGACTTTTTACTACTCTAGCCACTAAGTCTAGATATGATGTTTGAAATGATCTATTTAATGAAATTTTAATTAGTATTATATAATGCATCTATATTGTAAAAGAAGAAGAATACATCGTCTTTTGGCTATCTTGCGGTGCAGGGTGCTGTTCGGAGGCAATTTCGAAAGCCTGATATTTTTCCTATGACTATCACTAGCTGCAGCTCTGGGTAGAAGGCTGGTCCGAATCAGAATACTTCCGCTCAATCATTCGAGCTTCCCGTACACATTGATTAACCACATACTAGACACAAAAGTCGGTGCATGACACAGCATAGTCAGTGTGCTATCTATCTTACACGTGATTGAAGAGAAACAGTCGTTAATGATTTCTCCATGGTCATTCCATATATCATGGCGCCGAGATTCGAACACAGTACTTTAGTAATACATACCAAACAACTTATTCACTGAGCAATAGCGATTGCATCTATATTGATATCATTATCTTTGTCATGATTTTCTTTTTTTTTCGTCTGCTTCCTCATATTTATCCGCATTCTTTATATTATTTATAGATCCTTCTAATAAAAGGCCATCATGAATGAGCATACCAGAGTATTCATGAGCATGTAAAATCATTTGCTTTTTTATTATTTCACCATGTACTTCTTCCTGTTCAACTACACAATTATCATCACTTTCACCAGAATCAATAGTCATTTCTTTTGTAACTAAGTGAATATGTACAATTAAATACAATGCTATCGGTAAATGATAGCTTCTGTGTTTCAGTGCATGATAGATCTGTAATGCTATGATAAACACTTAGTAGTGAAATAAAAAAATCAAGATAAGATAAAAGACAGTTATACATAAAATGAATAATTATTTCATTTTAATAAGCAGTTGTCGCTCTTTAAAATCGGGTTAACTGTAGCTAGTACTGACCTCTATATGATCACAGTCACGTTACATAATAAATATAGTTTATTAATTTTTTTTGTCTACAAAAGATTCAGAATAGTAAAATATATCAAAAATGAAAAAAAAACAAGGTTTCATGCTGAACTTCACATCAAAGTACTATGAATTTTCATAAAGAATAACTTCAGAAATGCAAATCGCTAAAAAAAATAATTTAAAAATAACTAATTGTATACATTGAACAAAATTATATACTAACCAATTATATTACTAGTATTACTTGAAGCCGTATCACCCACTAAGGTAGTTCCTTGTATTTTGAATAGATATTTTCCTTTCATAAGATTCGGAATATGTACAGATAATGCTGCATTTGAAGTAGTTAACAATAAATTCCATTTATTATTTGAAATGTTTTTACAATAAATCTTATATTGCTGAATACTTTGACTTCCATAGATAGGTTTTGACCAATTAAGTGTTAAACTATGATCTGAAACATTTGTTGCATATGGTTGTCCTGGTCTACTTGGAATTTCGAAATTGATAGGAACACCATTTTGATAAAGAATACATGTTACTCCTTTATTCATTTGAAATTCATCAGCATATTCTTCATTAACAATAAATTCAATATTTGTTTTAGAATAATTGTAACGAGCAAATTCAATAAATAACGAAATTTGATTTTGAATTAATGGAAAATTATTCTGATTAAACCAATAATGTTTATTTGGATATTGATTTATTGGTTTTGTTATATTATTATTATTAAAATATTGAAATATTTCATTGAAAAATGAATCATTTTTTTCTGTAACATGAATTATCAAACGAAGAATAAATTCAGATTTAAAATTCTTTTGAACTTCAATAAATGAACATGATAATTGATGAATATTATCTTGTTTTCTTAAATCATTTCGAAAATCCTTAAATATATTTATTTCATCTGTTTTAAATTGAATCCAATCGTTTAATCTTTGTTTATTAGATAAAGACAAATCAAGACTTTTTAATAGATCAGTAAGAGCTATTTCTTTCATAGAACCACCACGAATCTTCGGTAATAATTGCATCATTTGATTTCTCATATGAATTTCAATTTCAGGTAATCGAGTAAAATATGTTAACAATTGTTGTTCAGTTCGATAGAACATTTTCATAGATGATAAACTAATTCTTAAATCATTTAATGTTACTTCCAATTGATATAAATTATCAAAAAGTTCTGAAGTTTTAATGAGAATATCATCATTAATTTGATAAAAATTATTCTTTGCTAAACGAAATTCATCTAATAAATAAAGTGGATAGATCCATACTTGTTTTGCTATTGTATTATCAGTATTTTGATGAAAACATTTTGATAAATCTTGATATAATTTAACTACTTCTTCAAATGTTGTTGGATTTAATGGAATTTGAAAATCACCATAATACTGACATGTTAATGTTTCAGCTAGTTTTTTCTCATGATTTTTCCAATTTAATTCTCCATTATCGAGTATTTGAAATGTTTCGAATTTTTTCAAAAATAATTTAATACAATTTTCAACATTTGTACGATCTTCATTAATAGATAATATTCGATCAAATATGAAAAATATTTCACCACCGTAAAGAATATCAGTAACAACATGAGTAGCAATTTGATGATCCAATACTTCATGATATTTTGTAGAATTTTTATTAATACAAGTCATTGTTAATGCATGAATATGTTTTTTCATTGAATATTTTAAAATAAATCGTAGAATATGATTTGTTTTCTTCCGATTATCGATTAATTTTGCTGAACCAGATAACTGAACAAGATTAGCTAGAACACTCAATTTAAGATTGTTATCAATTGTTAATAGATCTGCTTTCTCTGTGAACGTATCTGTTATATAAAGTTCACACTTGTTCCATGATAAAGGCGGACAATTAATATATTCAGACGATAGATTCGAATTCCATAATGATATATCAGGAATAAGTTTGTCGGTTCTATAGTCATAAAGCATTCCAAGTTGAAATGGGCGACCAAGTGCCGCTATTTTTAAAGCTGAATTATTTTCTGTTGACATTTTAAACCTTGCTATTCACTTTTTTAGTACTTATAAGTGATAGAATCAAAAATATTCAATATTCGTGTGCTGGAAAAATTCAACTTACCTTTTTAAATTCTTCACTAAATTAAAATATGCTAACAAACAACAAGATAACTATATACCAAAGTCTCCTTGACAAACATAGATAAGAATATCTTTTGCGTAGGTTAAATTTCAGAAGAAAAGAAGAGACGAAGGGCAAACAACGAAAAAACATTTTTGATTAGTGTCTGATTAACTTTCGAGGGCTACGATGAAACTACAAGATTTTGTTTCTGGATAATAATAAACGAATCAGTTTTATGAAAAAGTATTGTTTGTTCTTGTTTTTTTTCTATATCGATAGCTGCTAATGACTAATTCTATTGTTTCTTAAGCCATTTTATATTGTACACATATTGATATAGTCCGTGTTTATGAAGTTAAACGAACGTGAACAGAAAATTTTCTGAATCAATCCATGAACTACAAAAAAGCAGAAATATTACGATGAAACATCTTCAACCGTTGCGCGTCAATTGACCCGATGGTTTTTGTATATGCAGGGTTCAGTGAGACTAATCGTAGCCCATGTGGTACTTTTGTTTCGTACCGCTGCCAGGTATACTGCGGTACTGATAAGAACCAAAGGTATTCAGGGAGTAGTTTGCCTGTCAAAGAAAAAACTAACAGTATACTGCGGGAACAATGGCAGTCAGAACATAGCCGAGCATTTAAGTATTAAACTACTGCCAATTAATTGCCAGTATACCAGCAGTTTTTTGTCACTACCGACTAATGTCGCTGTTATAGCACATATTATATCGAAACGTTTAACGGCGATTTACGAGCGATTTTTGTACGCTTTGATTCATATAGATACATAAAAAGGCTCAGAACCCTAACTTATCCTACCGAAGTTATAACTGCGTTATTGAATTTCCAAGCTCAGACAAACTACTTGGTAAAAGACTGAATGATGCAAGTTTACCTAAAGTTTTGGGTGTGGGGTGTGAATGTAGATATGAGTCTAGGTCTGGATAGAAATCTTCTCTTCAGTAATATTCGCACCCACATTCACACTCACATATTAAAAGATCCGCATAGAAATGAAGCCATAACAAAAAAGCATAGTTATATTGACAGTTAATACAATAGAATAAATTCAAAGCACTTCGTTCTTAGTGGGCTGAAATACAAACTGTATTGCTTATTTATCTTATAGAATACAAGAGATTTTTTGTGTGCCTTTTACAGCTGAACTTGCTGCATTTTCTAAAATATTGTGGTTTGGAAATATTGTAATAGGCATTAGTACTATCAAAGTTCAATTGTCATATTATAAATATTCCATAGAAAAGTTCAACGAAATAGTTTCATGTACGAAGAAAATATAGCCAATTGACTTTTTAATCTCTAAGTCAACAAATATGTGAACTTTCGAATATAGCTAAATAGGAAGACAACTTTTTCAAGGCCATATATCCATTAACGTATGCATCCCAACTTATTTATTGCAAGAAAGAAGAGAAAAACTACCATGTAACTTCATATGTATAAGTAATAAAGAATTAATTTTAATCTTGTGTCTTTCTTTGTTTTTTTCGAACTTCAGGTGCACATTTATAAATAACGTGCGACGTAAAATATTTTATATTGACTAAAAAAACGGTGACCGATCACTTCGTCGCAATCATTTCGTCACAGAACAATTTGTCGCGTTCTGTTCGTCGCAGAATTTTTTTTTCGTTCTGTTTGTCGCAGGTAAATATCTTTCGCTATACTTATCACTGTCAATTCGTTGCATCTCTCTTAATTAATTCTTTTTTTTATTGAGGATATAAAATTGATGAGTTAATGATTGTTTATTTTGTACATAATACATAATAAAATGATGAACAAATTGAGGAAAAAAAAAGAACAAAACAAACAAACAAGAAAAGAAAATAATCTAAAGAAAAAAAATAATTTAAAGAAAGAAAGCAATATAAAGAAAAAAAATACCTAAAGAGTAACGTTGGTTGCCATATTTTTTAAGAATTGATCCAGTTGAGATGCGTCGAATCCGTTGACCAGTCGAGTAATACGTTCGTCCAATCTTCGGTAGCAGGCCTTCTTCGTCTTAATATCGTGATCTTGGAGAATCTTCGCCATGTTCACTTCAAATTTTGATTGTTTACGACGAATTTTCTCTGCCAGTTTCACTATATTTGGATGAGTTATTGCGACGCGATTAGCGAATGCATTGTGCCAGCCTTCCACCGAATGATTGGATCGTGGTACCGTAGCGATGACACGATCATAAACATTCCATAATTTGTGATCGAATTGGGGCTTCTTTCGACTAGTTCCTTAGAAAGTCGAGTATATTTAGAGTTTCTCAAGAATAGAGAAAAAAAATTACCTCTTCTTCTTTTTTCACCAATCCATGTTTTTTGCAAAATAATCGAGTAAATCGTCGGCGTCATCGTCGAATTGATCACAAATTAAGTCGAAGCCAGTTATAACTTGATCTAGTGGAACAAAGGCAAGAGCAATCAATTTTTTTACATTTAAACGAAAATACTCATCCTCATTATATTTAGTTGTTAATCCTTTGTTTTGAACTTGTCGCCATACCGCTTGTGAAAAATGAAAGAGACAACCTAGAAAAAACGTTTCAATTATTTTTTTTATGAATAGATTAAAACGTACCTTTGTGTAAAACGTTTGGCAACATGTCTTTCACTGATTTGATCGTGCAAGTTTCGAAATCAGTCATAATTGATTCAGGTTGGAAGTTGTCTTATGCTAACACTTTTTCGAAGAATAAATTATAATCTTGAAAGATTTTACCAATTAATCACCCATAGACGAGAGGAATAATTGCATTGGTCATCATCGCCTGTAATATGAAGAGTTGATAATAATCGTCGGGACACACCTACATGAAAGAAAATTAGAAAAAAAAAGAGACACATTTAATTGATAGTTTACTTTGAATGTTCCATCATCGAACCAATATTTGTTTTGCTTGAGAATAGATAAATTAGTTTTTGTTGTAAATATAATTAAATTCTTGTCTTCGTGCAAGATGAAATCTTCATCACGATAGGTCTTTCTCAATTTTTCTGGTAAACGACCATCGATGTCGACTGTTTCAACAGTACGTTGTCTTCGAATCATTAGCATAAGTGCTTCGTTGCTTGGAAATTCACCAGCGGCACTTAGTGGATATGTACGTAAGACCGAATGAAGAATTGAGCTGCTTGGTTCATCTGTTATCACAGCACGAACTTTAATATCATTTTTTAATTGGATAGCTGGAACACGATCGGGTTGTAGAGCATGGGAATGTGATGTTGGCTGTGCGAGAAATGCGTCCATGGATAAATTGGTATGACAACGAGCTTAATTGATAAATGATTTTCATTTGAATTAATTGATTGATGTTCAAAGTGAACTTACCTTTACAATCTCGATTCTGACATCGAAATATCAATTTCGTGGTTATTGTACGCTCTACAGTATAGATATAACCTTCATGAAGGATCATTGGTTTTCCTTTTACAGAAAAGAGTTTTTCGATTTGAGACATTTTTCTTGAAAAGTACTGTGCAGTGAAAGTTGAAATTGAGAAGTGAAATGTATTTTTTTTACTTGACCTGGTCCCATAATTAAGGACATTGGATCAGTGTTATCTTTAGTTTAGATTATGTTGCAATTCATTAACCAAGTGACAAATCTAATTATTCTTCGTTCGCTTTAGCTCTATCACGACTGCATTAGAATAATATTTTTTATTGATTCGTTTTCCCAATTAATTATCTATCGTTATTGTACATATCTCTCTTGCAATTTATCATTTATTTTATATTATTTCCATTGATTACAGAAAAAAAAGAATTCATTAAGAGAGATGCAACAAGTAGATAGCAACGAACAGAACGCGACAAATTGTTCTGCGACGAAGTGATTGTGCGACGAAGTGAATGTGACGAAGTGATTGCGACGCAGTGATTGTGCGACAAAGTGAATGTGACGAAGTGATTGCGACGCAGTGATTGTGCAACGAAGTGAATGTGACGAAGTGTCGTGCGACGAATTGTACTAGTGCAAAAAAAATAACTTGTTGACTCCTTCCTTTTTTGCGTCGCATTTCTGTAGCATATATATAAGCAGAGAAAAAATTGTTTTCTTATCAAACATTATTAATATAATACGTACAAGCATCTAATTAATTGATCATACAAAACATGAGTAAAGTTTTCTTCTGAACATAATTTCTTTATATATTTTATTTTGAATAGACTTTGTTACTAACAAAGTAGAAGAGAAAACAGGTATGGATATAAATAAAGATGGCCGTGTTGGAGGAGGTGGTGCTACTGGACAAATAGAAAAGGCTACTCATATGGATATAAATCGTGATGGAGTTGTCGGAGGACACCAAGCTCCGGGAGGTGGAGGTATGTAAACTATCTTTTTTTTCAAAATGAACTGAATAATCTTTTACATCAGTGAAAAAGAATACTGAGGTGAAAGAGTACAATGTTTTATTTTATTTTCAAACTTAATCAAGTTTTTCTTTATATTAAATAGGTGTTCTTGGTAAAGCTGAAAAAATAACACATATGGATTTAAATCAAGATGGACGTATTGGAGGTGGAGCTGCCCATCAAAAACATTAATATAATCGCAAATAACTTCTTTTTTAATTTTTCAATTTGTGTATAAGGTGTTACGGCTATGCCGGGTTTACATAAATAAATCTTCTTAAAAAGACAATCAAATAAAAAGATATATTGAATGTCTTATAAGAAATACAAGTTCTTGTTGATTTACACATCGAGTATGCTTTTTACAAACATTCAATATCTTTTCAATTAAACAAGTATTCACATAATTGGCTATCATCTTTCGTTTATGAGTCAGAAAAACAGGTTTTCAAAATACACGAATCTTGAGACTTTGCTTATCTTGTAAGTAAAGTAAAATCATTATAAGAGCTTACATTTTATTAGAATCCAGGAAAGAATTATTTTTGTTAATGACTATGCTCAATCAACAAAGACGAATTTCTATAAATTTCAATCAAGTTTCATCAAGTCTTTGTTCCCTTTCTTTGTTGAAATAAGTCTTTTCTAATAAAAAAATTCAATTCAAACATTTCAGCAACTCGTTCATAGAATCGGATTTTTCCTCCTTGAAAATCTAATAGACTTGTTTTATTAAGTCTGTGATGCCTAGTTAACAATAACAAATAAATATCTAAATAAATCGTTTTCTCTTTGAAGGATTAAATGATGATCATATATGGCACGTTGAGTATAATAATGCAGTTTGCTTGCATGCTATACATTCATTTTTTATCAACGTCGAACAGTAAAGGTTTTTATTAAAATCAACTGCATAGTTCGCATTCTAGAGGAAAAATATATATCAGTGGCATGTTCATATAAAAGCCCTTAACTTTTTTATTCGTTTTAATGATGCTGAAGCTGCTAGAGTTTCGTGCATAGAAGAACATTCCTTACACATGCTGGATTTTAACTGATATGTACCATTTTCTCCCTTAATTATTAAATGCACATGAGATAAATCGACAAAAAACATATGACAATCTATGGAAGTCCTTCAAATAATCAAAATCGACCAGTTTATTGGTGATAGTTCCGTTGTTCAACTTGGATTATGCATCTGGACCGTTAATTAGCTCAATCTGATAGCAACAGTAGTTCGCCTTGAACGGATAATTCTCATTTGAACGAAATAAATTAACACGAACGATTTACTAGGCAGAATAGGAACACTTTCTATGAAGTATGATTGTTTCTTCAAATAGTGTTCAGATCCGGACTGAAATTATCGTTGCTGAAATAAATAACGCCGAAGGTCACTTCCGAAGAATGTTGGCCAATAAGTGCAGCTCTCTTTAAACAACCATAAAGAACTAATGTAAAATGACGCGAAAATATGTAGCATTATGGAGTCCACTCTCTTGCCTTTATTTATGTTTTGTTACTTTGGAATAGGCACTACTATCAAACAATCTATCATATTTGAATCGACTCTTCTTGAAAATTATTTTTCAAAGCCTTTTTCTTTTGTTGCATGATTAATCCAATGATCGATTTTTAATAAATTATGACCATTGAAGATTCACTATTTAAAATGTATATCTAAAATTCATAAATAGTTTATTTTAACAAAAACAAATGACGAATTTTTTTTGATTTTTTATTAAAGCAAGATGAGACATATACGAATATATAAATATGCGTAATATGTTGTTATTTTTGTAATCATGCAACTGCATATCGAGCAATTGAATCCTATTGATAACTTAATTTAGTAGCACACATTCATATATTGACTCATAACAATTATCTGCAGCAGACATTGGGCAACAAATAAAACAGAAAGCAAGAAAAAAATACAATGACGCACATGGTATCACAACAAGTTATCTTTGAAACATTATTGTATAATTACATTTATTTTATTGATGCTTTAGTATATAAGTAATATTTGATGAAGTTGGTGACACAAAGAACACATGACAACGACGACTGGTCTACAAATTTCAAAACATGCTTTTGTTATTCCTATTATCTTTCTTTGCATTTCTGATTTTACTTTCTAATTGATCAAACAAATTGTAAAACTGTTACTTTTCTTTCACGACTAATTCGCATAACAATTACAGGTCTTCCACAACCCTATGCTTCTAAATCACTTCAAATCATTCGGATACCTTCAAAACCTTTTCTATACATTCCTGATGGATTCACTGTGAAGTTATATATGAGTGGACTCTTATCACAACGTTATCTTATTTATACACCTACAGATGATATTCTTATTAGTGAATCGAGTGCTAATCGAATTTCTTGTCTAGTAGAGAAGGATCATGATGGTTATCCAGATCAACGTTTAACATTTGCTGATGCATCTAATGGACTCAATTATTCATTTGGTATGGCTTTTATCAATGAATATTTTGATGTTGGTAATCGAGATACTGTTCGACGTTATTCTTGGACTAATGGGAGTCGAAAAATTACAGGTACAGGTCAAGTAATAATGCCTTATCCCCAAAATGGTCATTCAACACGAACTATCGCTATATCACCTATGGATGATCGAATATTCGTGAGTATTGGTTCAGCATCTAATGTTGATGTTGAACCATTATCACGAGCTCCTATTCAACAAGCTAATATCAATGGTAGTAATCAAACAACATTTGCTTAGGGTGTGAGCGTGGGTTTGGATGTAGCTGAAGAGTAGACCTTATCTATACTCTCATAACTAATATTAATAGACGAATTTCGTTTATTAGTATTGTATTTGTTATAATATAACTGCAACTTTAAAGGCTCAGCCGGTTAGTATTGCTTCGATGAATCTCAACGATACCTTAGTCTCTTCACATTTCTCTCGTATTCTATGTGATCGGTAATACTTATTTATTACTCGTATTTCTGCTTCTGGCTGTTTAATGGTAGCTGATCGCCCGAATAGATAGTAGTAGCGTAACTAGATGTGCTTTAGAGGAGATGTCTTGATAGTGAGAGTGAATAGGTTGTGCAGGTATCTATGCCGGTGATGATGGTATATATTTCATTAAATGAGAGCGTTACGGTGTGCATTGGCTCGGACGAGTAAGGGTGAGTGTGACAGTTACAGGCGAAGGCCAGGGTGAAGTCGAGAATGAAGAGAAGAGCCACATACATCGTCACTCGGTTCTCTTCTTTGACCTAATGTTCTCATCCGACCTTACCTTCACACTTAAGATAGAAGCATTTTTTTAGAATATATTTAGTAGATAAAGAACATTTAAGACGACATAATGTCTAGGATAACCAAAAATTTAGATGGAAAAGATATGTCTCATTTTTTTCCCCAGTTTTATCAGTGGTTCTCTTCATTTCAAACACTATATTTGACTGAATAAGCATTTTGAATGGGTAAGAAGAAAGATTTCACTACTTAGTAATCTATTTGATATTTGCTTTCTTTCTTCAAAAGAAACCAGCGTGTTTTTATTCAATGACGGCGCAGAAGAAGCAAACAGAGGATGAAAGAACGATCAAAACCATTTTCTTATCGTTTCTTTTTTTGCCATCATTTGACTCGAACGCAAGAACTTGCACAAGACACAATTGTGTTTTTATCTTTTAGAAAGGCAACAGCTATGAGTTCGAACGATTCAACACAAACAATTCAGGGCATGGGACAAGACTATAATACAAATTCTCTCACTCAAATGGCTGCAGTTAAATTATCTGATGCCTATATTCGACAAGGAATCGATGCACTTGAGATTGAAAGCTCACCACTTGTCATTATGGCCGATTATGGCTCATCTCATGGCTCCAATTCAATGTATGTCATGCAGTTCATCATTCAAACATTGAAAGAAGTCAAAAAACTCGATGAGGATAAACAACAAATCCTTGTCGTCCATAACGATTTACCAACTAATAATTGGACATCTCTATTCGATATTCTCACTAAAAACAGATCATATCACGGAGTGGCTAGTGGTCGTTCGTTTTATCAACAATGTTTGCCAAATAATTCACTTGCTATCGGCTATAGTTCGACTTCATTACATTGGCTATCACATAAACCGTGCAATTTATCTGATCAATGTCTGGTTCATTGTTCCCGAAACGATGACGAAATAAACGCGTTCAAACGTCAAGCTGCTCTTGACTATGCTCATTTTCTTGAATATCGCTCCCGTGAATTGGTACACGGCGGTATTTTAATTTTGGTAATCCTCGAAGATAATGGCAAAGATACTCGCGATCATGGTGACCTGCTATACAGATGTGCTCGAGCAGTCTTGTCACCTCAAGAACTACTCGATTATACACTTCCAATATATTGTCGCTCTTATTCCGAATGTGTAGATCATGATCTTTTTGCAAAATTTGATCTTGAATTGATCAAATCAGACACTGTTAATGTAAAATCAACTCTGGGAGAGCAGTTACGAAACGGTGAGATAACACTTGACTATTTGGCTCGCGTTCAAACCATAGCCGTACGTGTTGCTCTTGAATATCCACTTAAACAAGCACTGATGACTAACGGACAACGATCAGCAGAAGAGATTGACAAGATATTGGATCAATATTGGGACTTACATGAGAAAGGAATGAAAGAAAAGCTGGATGATTTCGGTGCTGATATGATGGTTATCATTTTAGTTTTGAAAAAGATAAAGAAATAAACTCTTGTATATATATATGTAACACTTTTTTCTTAAAAAAGAAAACAGTAATAAAAGAAAGAATCTTTTAACAGTTATTAATAGAATATTCACAGTAAAAGCATTTCAATAGTAACATATTATGTTTAGAACATGATCGAACCATTCATAGAAATATTAAAATTTTGAAATCAAAAATATTTAGACAATCTTGCTTTGAATTAAATGAGAAAAATAAAAGTTAAGAACAAGAAGAGAGAAATATAGTGAAAAAGGTTTAGCAAATATTTAAAAAATGCATAGTGTAGTTTCGAGCGAACATTGCAGCTAAAATATCAGTGTTATCTGAATGAACTAGAAGCTTTAATGAGACTATGTCACACCAGTGGAAAAGTTTAGCAATACAAATTTCAGAATCCTATGGACCTAATCAAAATCAATAAACCGATCATTTCACACCAAAATCCAAATTCTAATCGACTATTAATTGAAATTTTTTTACGATAGTAACGGTGACAATTCTCATATAATTGATTTCAATCCGATTTTGATCATTTTTTTATACTGCTGTACAGGTTTGTAAACGACCAGATGAAACTCAACTAAATCGTGACCGTTATCGTTCGAAAAAATGACAAAAAAAAATTGATTAAAATCAGAGTTTTTCCATTTTATTTTTACAACGGGAATTATCTACTTTAATTCTGTGCTATCTGTTGATCTGCTGGAACCTCGCACTATATCTTAATCAACTTTAACAGATCATAATTTCTTAATTAATTTTAATCTATTTTTCCTTTTAATCGATCATAATCAGACACATTGAAGATAAACACTGCTCGGTATGTGAATGCGAAAGTCTAATATCTTATGATTTTCTTTTGATTTTTGGTGTTTAGAAACTGTTAAATTGTCACCAAGCTAAACTTCTGCAACTAATATAAAGTTAGAATTGGTATATAAATTGTTTCAAACTGAGATGGTGCAATTATACGAGAAATCGATTTTAATCGATCATATCACTCTTTCAGTTTTGTTTTACATAAGAATATTCTCTAAATATACATTTTGTCATATATAATTGTGCATTTCCGGGTACCATGCAGCTTTTACTGTTTATAAAAAAATCTTTTAAAATTAATAGAAATATTTTTATGGATTCTAATCAATTGTATGGATATTTTTACCTTTTCTATATGGGGCTTCTGCATATATAAAGCACTTTTCTTATTGCTATCCTCGTATAATGTATTGTTTAATGTTTTGAAGCTTTTAGAAGATTACATTAGTAACTCTCTCGTATTCAAAAGCATTCATGTTCCGGTGCCAACGTTCACCTAATTAATACAACTCTGAAAAGTGCAGTAATCGAATGAAATTCCAGTAAAGAACTGTTTTCATGCAAAACTTTAGGTAAATGAATGTTATTTTCTGAAGAAAAATATCTTGACTTTTTCATCATGATCTTCTTGCTTTCAAACGCTCAATATGATTGAGATGTTATTATACATGAATATTCCATGACATTTTTATTTTGAATATGTCCTGTTCGAATATTTTCTTCGATTGAGTCTTTCCGTTACGATTTTTTTTTGTCAGGATTTATATCATTCAGCTAAATGTCAGTCATTGTTGATCGAAGTATAAAGACTAAACATCAATAATGCTAGTAGCACACAATCGATCAAGAATGCGACCACAGCGACAATAATCGGTCAGTATTTTAGCTGCGACAAATTTTCCGGACTATCTGCGAGACTTGACGGCGATCACGATATTATTCTTCTCGTCTCCTTTCTATGTTTCACTGTAATGTGTTTCATCAAAATGCAACTTTAACAAGTTTTTCTGTTAATTCAACCATTGTGAAGTCAAGATCATTATAGTATCAGCTATTGTTGACTGCATATGATTAATGAAACGCTGTTTAGTTTGAACGCCTCTATTCGAATATCTTAGATGCAACTCTAGTGGAAATACAAATGGAAATCGTTGAGAAGCGAGTGTTTGTTGTTGTGGTTTAATTAGCTCATTCTCGTTAAAAAGGTACAATAAATAAGAACATGCTCCTTTTAAAGTAATATTTACTACTTGTAAGAAAAGATTTCCGTTAGATTCAATATAGTCGGTCCGAAAAACAGGAGCGATAAAAACGGTCATTATAAGCTCCTCTAACCTCAACATCTCATAGAAAGAAATATCATACATCATAATTTCTCATCAAGAATGAAAATGTCTACATTATCCATTACATCACTCTGTTAATGATTGGTGTTTGAAAAGAACAGTATGAATTGTGTATAGCAGTTATTTTCAGTAGAATTAACCAACTTGATTAAGTGAATAAGAAGATATTATCCATTCAAGTGTTAATCTGTACTTTAGCCGATCCTGTCGAAGGCGAAGACATTGATTTGAATTCGCTTTGATTGGTGACTTCTGAGAAAGATGAATCTATTATCTTTCTCGTTGAACCTATTATGTCCTGCTTGATTATGTATCGAGCTTCTTTACTGTGGAATACTATTAGAGTTATACTGATAATAATGTTGTTACTTTTCGAGTAAACGAAAAACAAGTGACCACTCCTGACATGGCTAGTCGAAAATTTTCACAGTACCATTTAAGCATAGCCTGCAATGTTATACCATCAAAAATCATGAGAAATCATTAAAAACCAGCGAAAATTACTCTAAATCATAGAAAATCTCTGGCAATAAAAGTAAAAGAACGCCCTGATTTCTATTGATTTCTAACAGTTCGTTTTTATTGTCTTGTTGTTCAATAATTATCAATATGCCTATTTATTAAACAGGCAGTAAAGGCCATTCAATTATGTTTCATCATGAAAAAACCACTGTTTTCTCAAATATTTTGTTTCGATCGGTTAGACATTGTTCATATCTATCTTAGAACCGATGAAAAATATCGATTATGTGGTGTCTACAGTTTCTATCAACATTTACAAACGCCTACTACTTTCTTTAGGCGATAAATTATGTGAAAAATGATTTGAAACAGCCTTAAGAGTTTCCATGTGCTGTAATGCTTTGTGAACTAACAAAAATCTCTTGATTATTCGTAGTATTACTGCTTAAATAAAAGAAAAGCAAGGTTATATTGACCGACATTCATTTGGTCACTTCACAAATAGTTCTGCCGTCAGGCCAATCAGCAAAAACATCCACTAGAAAAAGAGTTATAGTCCAGTAAAGTGATTGAACGAGTGATATGACATTTAGGTCTTTGAACAAGAAGGAATCTATCGATGGCATACGATAAATTTTAACTGTACTAACAGAGAGTCATAATTCTGAAGAAGCAGCCCTCATCATCAGCTGGTCGCTCGCTCTAAGTGTCGCTTTTGCTCTTACTCTCAGTTAGATAACTGTTTTCAGCCTATTTTCTTCTATTTGATGATAAGATGTATAACGGAATTTATTTAAAAAAATTCTAAAAACTAAATCGTGGAAGTTGTTGCCTTCATGTCATGTATTATGTAGAGATAAGAAGCAAGACAAATTGTGTTGAACACATATCAGCATACATATGCCAGATTGTCACACAATGTACAAAATATTGTGAAAACGTAGTTCGAGTCTAGTCTTCAGAGTCCCTGTTATTTTTTCTACGATAGCGAATAAATAATACTTGTTCATTCTTTGATTTCGTACCATCTATTCTTGAAGTCCAAAATGGAAAGTTCGCTTACAATCACTGATAAATTTTTCAACGTATTTAAAAACAATAATTAATCGACAAATCGTCTAAAGTGACATAGGAGGAAATGTCTGTTGAGCATGCTAAAAATAAGTCGCTTACATGCAGATGTACGAAGAAAGCAAAACAATGAATGAATGTTTAGAAAATAGACTTAACACATCTATAATATAACACATTCGAATGTCTCATACTTTCTCAATAGAATCTGTGACACTAGCAATAGAGACACAAAAATACAGCACGTTTTTGTTGTAGCGAGTGCTTCACTTGGCCATCATATTTTGTGTTACCTAAGAGATACCTCTACGTAAATATTTATTAATCTCATTTTTGATTGCTATGCTTGTCCGACGAAAGTTATCGATGAAATTTCATCAAAAGAAAAATCTTGTTTCATGCATAACATCATATAGCTATCCTACTCTAGACTTTAAAAAACAAGTTGCGACACATCAATTACATTGAATAATGATTCGCTGTATCACTGAATCATTCAAAATAAAACTTACTATTGCGCTAGATAAACAGTATGACAATCTCTTCACACTCACTGTGAATTAGATAATTTTACATTCAGTGTGAGAGTGAGCTTAAATCGCATTAGCATCCAACCTCACTACATTTATATGAACTAAAATTTATGATCCTATTACGATCTAGTTTGGTACTTGTCAAAAAATCAGAATCGAGTAATTGAATTATTCATGACTCACTATTAGAAGTGAGCGAACTCATAAGTTTTCGATTTCGGTCCCAGCACTGAGATCGCAATTTTTTTCTAGAAGTTCTTAACTCAGTCGACGATCTCATATAAGGATGAGTAGTTTTTGAAAAAATCTATAGGTTTGGAATATTCCAAAACATCATTAGTATAAGTTTTGCAAAACAAACAAATTTATCATTCATCTACATAAAAAGAATATTTGAGTTTTCTAGAGAAAGAAATTCATTTTCAGTGAAAAGCGACCGTATTTTGGTATTTTTAAAAACTGAGAACACCCGCAGGCAATGCAAAAGTTGAAAAGAAAAGATAGAGTTCAAAAGAAATAGTATACAAATATCCATGGACACTCCTTGTTAGCTCAGCTTTTGTTTTCAACTGAAATACATTTTTTTAATGAACACGGACATCAGCGGACATCCACGGTTATACTCCACATATATCGATCCTTGACTTGGTTTTTATCATAAAAGATAATGATATGAGCCTTACTGTTTAATTGTAAAACATATTTCATAGGTAAAAATGAAAGTAATCATCGACATCGCCGGAATATCTGTGGAGGTACGTGTATGTCCGTTTCCGTGGAAAAAGATATATTATAGCCAAAAGTATAAAGCACAGATGAGTGTTCATGGATGTAGCAGTTTCTACAAGTGCTCCGGTTTTTACACACATTTTTTTAATATTATCCGTACACATTTCTCTTAACCCTCCGAAACTCCCGAAGTTCCCTTACAGACTCTAGAAAATAAAGCTGAAGCGAATTCTGAAATTAAAGCAAACAAAAGCTTCACACATTATTGATTTATTGTATCACTCGTAATCGATGCTTTCGTTTGAATCATCAGCAATGAGATTATGCTAGTCATTTGTACGACTAGTTTTGGAAAGATGGTGCATACTGAAAAATCACACGATAGTAATGCATTTCAGCTGGACTTGAGAATTGAGCGAATTTATTTCTGCCAAGGTAAGAACAAAAAGTATTCCAATTGTTAGATAATATCTTAGACTTCACCTTGAAAAATCAGTACCTGTTGAGCAAAAAGTTGTTTATTAGCTTGAACAACATGCTTTTCAATGACAAATTATGTACTGAATATTCTCTGCTCGACCTTCAACTTCATTCTCCGTATTGATACACACATTCACTTTAATATCATTCCATCAGATTGTTTCCTATCATCTCTCATTTTCGTTCTAGTTATTTAGACAAATTACTTTTTCCTGCTCTAATTGTAAGAATACAGCTGAACGAATTCTTACGATAGATATTGATCAAATCAAGATGAACACCAGAATTGACTTTTCAATGCTTTTTCCAGCAGCATGTAATAATTATGCAGGGCCAAATATTGCAGTTTGGTTTTTGATATTCATTAATACAGTTGGAACGGTGCGAAGTCTCATTCACATTTTCTTTCGTGATAGTGGTGCACAGTCTATTGCGACAATGAATTTAAATGTTAGTGGTAGTAAAAACATCGTGGCACTCCTTGGTCAATGGGGTGGTGGTCAACTTATCATGGCATTTATTATTTGGATCGTGCTTTGGCGCTATAGAGAATTTGTTCCACTCATGATTGCAGAAATTGCTATCGAACAATTTATACGAATTGCAATTGGACGCTCGAAGCCTGTAACTACGGTCCACACTCCGCCAGGTCGAACAGGCAGCATGATTCTATTACCGATTGCCACAATAATGTTGATCATCTCTCTAATTCGAAATTAGGCAAAATTTGATAACATTTTTTTATTGAACACTCAAGTAATCATTGATTACTCAATATTGTAACACACATTAAACTATGGTTCTTCGTAAAGACATAAATACATATGAAGCATATATGTAACAAAACACGATAAATTCTTATCTTTCAGTCGAATTCAGCTAATCAGACTATTTGTTATAAAACTTGTTCACTCATTCTTTTTCTAGGAACATGATTCTGAAAACATCAATGACTTACGTAAATTTAAAAAAAAGATTTTGTCGAAAAATACATATTTTTGAAATTGAGAAAGACTGTATCGTTTAGAACATAGTGTACATTTTTTTCTCTCATTCAGCAATTCTAATTTGTACTATGATAGAAATGTTTGTCAAGTCTGTCGAAGACCGGATCAAACTTTCTCCCTATGTAGGTCAACATGCGTTAATATTTTTTTTTGAAGACAAATCAAAAAAGGTAAAGTTAGACCATATTGTCGAGACACTCCCGCTGTGATAATTGCACTTCTCTTCCTCTGAGAATCATTTAAATTGTGTCAAAACCAATACTCAAAAAAACTGACATCAAACTGCTCTGCATGACGGAAGGCTAACTCAAGCAGAATATTGTACAATCTAGCTTTATCTTTCAACAAGCAGAAAAATATCTTTTTTTCCTCTCTCGTTCATCAAATCTTGCCCTTCGATTTGCTTTTATTCATATCATAAGTTTATATTACTTTTAATGGTGAGAGCCCTTTGCTAGTTTCTTGCTTATTGAATATTTTCTTCAGTAGAATATGTAGGTCTCTCATTTCCCATTGATTATTTATGACTACGTAAGATAGGCCCAAAACTCAGTAGCAAAAACTGGCAAAAAAAGACTTAGCAATATATATCTATTTCGTATTGTTTCAAGTAGAAAATTCAGACTGATCTAGGATTTCTTAATCGGTAAATGAGCTTTAATATGTTTGTAATGCATATATTTTGTATGTCAGCAACTACAACAGAGGTTTCATGAGTCATATGTTTTGAGTGAACCTATAGAACAAATTTTGGTAGAATACTGAAATTATATCTCGGATTGGTAGAAAACTATTGAAAGATTTTCTTGAAGAAGAAACTGAAAGACTTGAACTACGATGGTGTTACGCTTTGAATAGTTCTTTCGATAATTCGCTAACATATTTTGTTTTTGTACGTACATTGATTATATTTCCAGGTTTGCCAACAGAACGAAAACTGTAACGGAATCCCAAAATTTGATAAGGTTTGAACTTTTAAGAATACATATGAGTTGCTGAGAAGCATAAAAAATTGTCTTTGATGAATATCAGTTAGTCAGCATGTGTTTCTTTTTCTTTTATTTTCAAAGTGAAATAAAAAAAAAACAACTCAATTTAATGGGAGATTCGTATTGTACAGAAGGAAATCGGAGTTTTGCCAAATATATCGTCCATTTACTTGCACTACATTATTGCTTGGACAGTTTTTCAGACTGGTTATGTAGAAATTTTGTTCCACTAATGTTGAACATATACTTGAGATCCGAATATTTTGTTTGCACCACATTTTGAAAGAGATCAGCAAGAGTCAATACAAGAAATTTTGTTTCGGGTATGATTTATGACGATAAAGATATTTTATTTCAAATCATTTTTAAATAAAATGACTTCTTTAATTGTTATACTTTCTGAAAAATTTTGTAAAAGTAAAGTATATCTTTTATAAAAATTGCATTTTTTTGCATATTGACTTATGTTTCGACACAAATCTTTTAAAAATAGTTTGTTATATTTTTAGAAGTTTAACGAAATTCATCACAGAAGTTATATTTTTTCAGTTCATAATAATGGAGTTTCATATATCTATGTTAGTATTTTATACCACGACGAGAATATTTATTAAGAAGTTTATATTACAATTTGCTTATGTCATAAAAAAATAACAAAAAAAAAATTATATAAATTTAGCCGAATAATTTAGTGCACGAATTGAATCAAGAAAACATACATTAGCGACACCGAAGTTCCCTGTTTTTCGATGCTCGAGACCTTCATTATAAAAACAAAGCATACTTTTCGTGCACAAATGACGCATCAATTGTTTTTCATTGTAAACTATTGTTGTCTTGTTCCACCACGATTCACCGAAATGTTTAATTTCATCTCCCGTATTAAGAATATATAATGTATCGATCGATATTCTTGTTAGTATTGGAGCTAATTCAGTTAGTTTCTCGGAGGTGCAAGCAATGATAAGAATAAATGCGCTGTTTTCAGCCGATCTAGCCAAAAGTTCATCAATAGTCGAGCAGTGTATTACCAAATTGTCTAATTCTTTTGTGGGAAGATGCGGTAAATCCAAAATGAGTATTTTGGCCTGTTTAGAATTCGAATTAACTACAAAATAATATATTCATAATATTTCGAATATAAATGATGATCATCAAATAAAAATTGAATTAAATAAATTAGACAAACATTACTCATAAACTTAAATTTGATGTATACTGTGGAAAAATATGTTTTATTACTCATATTGAAAAAAATATTAAGGATCAAAATGAAAAAGGATACAGCTTTCAATAACTAATTTTGTTATATTATTACATAGATTAGAATTATTTACCTGACATTGTTAAGTTAAATTTTTTTTAGCAATAAAGTGTGTATATCTGCGAGAATGACCAAATAAAAATGAATAAATGATTATATGAGCAAGAAAAATATTTCACAATATGGGAGAAAAAAAAACATTCACTTATTCATCGATGACAACAGCAAACATGACTTACACCTTCCTTCACTACTATTTTCAATGCATTTCTCATGCAACTTTTTTTCTGTTTCTGACGTACAAACGACGCACATGCATCCATTATCGTCATAAGACATCTATATATTTTATGAAATGAAATTAACATTTTTTTACCTATTCATCACATGATCACTGTTATGATGACAATGACTACCTGATTTAAACGTTTAAAATTGTACAAGCATTATTTTCATCAAGGATGATACAAATTCCTACAGCGTCATCTATTCTTGATTGTTCACCAGGACATTTTCTCTTAACTAAAAAAAGAAAAAAAAGTTTTTTTTTCTTTCCTTTTTCGTTTGCTCTGCTTTTTTCTTATGTATGAGTAATTTTTCAGATAAAACAATACGAATATTTGACATGACGTCCTTAACTACTAAGATTACTTTCATCGTATAGATAAAGTTTGGTGATGTAAATATTCTAATTTTGTTCTTATTATTCAGAGATCATGACAGTGAAATGCAGAAGATATAAACGACCCCATAATTGACAATTATTCATTATTACGCAATAAAACTACCAAAAGTTTTGAATTTTTTACTGCTTCTATAAGATGTTTTCTAATATATTTCCTAACGATCTCTAGTTCTGACACATTCATACGGACTCTGATATGGTTACGAAAATCTCTTCTCAGAGAAGCTAGATTGATCACTAGCTTATATTCACTGCATGTTATTTATAGAATCACATAAATATATATATCTGCAAAAAAAAACGAATTGCTAAATTTTTTCTGTAGAACAATCTTCGCCTAGTCAAACGCGTTTATTGTTAAGTACGAATAAAAAAAGTTTACTATCGTGCAAGATCTTTTTTAATATAACAGAAAAGTCTTATTATTTGAGAAACATTTCTCAGTCGACTATCATCTTCTAGTATATTATGTTGCAGAAATTTTATTCGAAGAATACATTTGTGAACAAACAAAAAAACCATAAATGTCAGAAACGCCGAGCAAAAATATAATTTCTTATTAATTTACACTCAATTGTTCAATAGCATGTCAATCCCCATCCCAAAAAACGACATATTTGTCGATATATACATAAACCACTGTAAGTAATAATTTCTAGTCGAATTGGTAATTTACCATATCAACTTGACGATGTTACGAAAATATGGTTAACATTTCTTCTCGTCACATAACTATATCTACATGCTGATAATTCCCATTCTGAATAATAGTTGGAGTAATAGCTTGTCTTTTGTTATCTCTCAATAAACAATTCATAAATCAATGTGTCAATTCATATTGATAATGCTGAGGTAAAACGAATAAATCGTGCCCTCGATAGAAGATCCGTTTGGAGAGGTGATACATTGCATGTTATAAAAGCTCTGTACCCTCCTTCTTTCATGGATGGAATTATCGAAAAGTTGGAAGTTAAATTACTATATTGGCGTCAATAAACGCCATCTTCTCGGGTTATTGAGTTGAAAATCTTAAAAAATTTTGATCCCTATTATTTCTAAGATTTATAAAACTCTCAAAATCTCTTCTCAAATTTCCAAAGTCTTCTGAATTTCTAAAAGGTCTTTTTAATTAAAAATTATAGAAATATATGGGTCATAATATAACATTTCGCTTAGAACTTCATATACTTCAACATATAGAAGATCCAGAGTCTTCTATTATGAAGACGAGTTCAGATAGAGTAACATCGAGAACAAGTTAAGAAACATTCTAGATACATGCTAAATCCAATAGATTAGTGGTATATGTCAAACTGTAAAAGCAGACAATAACTGATAGGCGTAGATCATACACAGCCAATAACTACAGACAAAGCCTAGACATTAAATAGATTACATTCTTTCCAGTAAGATTTATTCTGTTATTTAATTATTTGGAAAAATTCCATCATATAACCAAAACTTTTCAACTAATAATAATAAGTAGAACATAATTAATTGTCCTAGTCTTGACAGGTTTTCGGCTATTATTTTGATTCGTTTATTAATACTGCAAATACTGCTTTTAACATCCTCTATGAAGAGAATGAATTAGTTATATAATAAACACGACAAGCGGAAACAAATAAAACCAGTTTATCTTGATTAAAAAGATCTCTTGAGAAAGTTGGAAAAGTTCTAAATAATATAATACTGAAATAAGAACTGTGTTAATTTATTTCAATGAAAAATTAGTCATAGAGTGCTTTTTAACATTCTTAGTAGAATTTCTAGTGGTCAACAGTTAGAGCATTAGATTTATCATATTTTTAATTCATTGAAAGAAACTATTTGTTAGGAGAAAAAAGTGGTGCACGTTTGTTTATTGCCGTCACAATACTTTACTCAAATTTAGGCCTGTTCCTATTTTTTTTTGGTTATTGACTTCTTGTATCGACTGTTGATAAATATTAGTTGCCTAATTTTCGATAAAATCTCGAATATTTTTATAACCTATTTATTTGATGAATAATGCTTTTTAACATACATAGTTTATTGTCCTCTCGAAACACAATTTACGAGCAATACCGATAACAACTTTCTTTCATTTTTATTATCTCATTTGTTTTTTGTTTCTTTACATGTTTTACCATGTTCTGTTCTTCCAGCAATCAAATTGATGCATTGTGAAAATATTCATCTAATTTTCTTTTCTTTTTATGTCTTCTATCCCTAATTGACGAACTTATAATGTTGTAATGGATTTGAGTCTAAAAAAACAGATAGATGCAGTATTTTGATTAATTATATATTTTTACAGAAATATTTATTTGTTTTCTATTTGCAAATTAACAATTTCATTTGAAAGAATATCAGTTATTTTTTTACAATCTTCAAAATTATTTTTCTGTTAGATGGTGGTCATAGAGATAAAAGATACATACGCATATATCTCAGCAATGTTGAGTTTCAACCAAGAAAAATTCAGATAGGTTGCTAGAGAAAAAAAGGGAATTAATAGGAAATTTATCTAGTACAGATACATTGTCTGATAATTTGCATTTTACCTCTTAGAAATTGATACCATATATCTCTGGATGAAAATCTGACGAATTGAAGTAAACTAAGAAGAGGATATCACTGAGATTCTGTTCTAGAATCATTTGCGAATAATTTAATTCAGCTGATACCTATATTCTGATTGAAATCATGATTATATGGAATGCTCCGAGTCACATTTGAAGAAATTATCAAAAGCCATAATTTCGTTTCTTTTTCTTGTGAGGATCTTTTTCTACCCATTTATCCATATTAATTATCTTGTCATAAATACAACAGTCTATAGCTCATTCTTTAGTAGCCTTTTTTCTGAAAATTCTAAAGATTTTGAGAAACATACATCGTAGTCAATGTTTGAAAAGACGAAGTGTAATAGTTGACACCTTCAAATGATCCATTATGGTCTAAGAAAACGGTAAGCATAAATCAATAGAAGAAGTATTTCTATGCCGACTATATACATTAACTTTGACAATACTGACTACGATACATCGTTCCCGAAATCTTAAGAAGTTTTACAAAAACTTTTGCAGGAAAAAAATACATTTTTACATTGATAAAACAAATCATATGGGTCACATTGTTGAACAATTTGTTTGTATTTTTAATACAATAAACAGGTGTCTAAGTACAACTTTTTACAAAATTTTTTCCACGAGTAGCGCTTAATCAATTAATGCATGAATAATTGAATCTATTTGGTTTTTAAATGGGTTACGTGTTTATCATTCACTACAAATAAATATCTAGTTGAATAAAATAGTTTTTCTAAGTTTTTGTTTCAATTCACTACTAGAAAGCAGACAAAATGATGATAAAGAAAATATATAAAAATTGAATCGAAATCTTGTATTCTTTCTAAATTTTATATAGGTATAAATGAACCTAAAAAGATTCACAACTTTCAGAAGCTATAACTTTGTCAAAATGTGTTTGTCCCTCAGAAGAATCTTAGTATGCATGCGGTTTTTGTTTTTTTTGCTGCAAACTGGTCGAAAAATTAACACTTTACAAAACCGAGGTCAACTCCCTTGTAAAAAAAGGAAAATATAGAAACGCAACAAACATTAAAATAATGAAAACGAAAACAAAATGGGGTGTATTAGTTTTAGAAGTATTATCAGCAGTCTGATTGTACTGTACTTGATAAAGACGATTGTTACCATCCTCAGAAAATAAAAGACTACCATCTTTTAAAACAAGTAAACCAACTGGTCGTCCAAATGTATCGGGTCCAGATGGATTAGTTAGAAATCCATTCATAAAATCTTCATAGTAGCTCATTGATCGATTAGTATTATTATCGAATGGAATAAAGATAATTTTATAACCAGTTCCACTATTTCTATTTCATGAACCATGAAATGCTGCAAAAGCACCATTTTGATACCGACTAGGAAATTGTTTGCCTGTATAAAATCTCATATCAAGTAATGCTGAATGAGCTTGAAAAAGAACATCAGATGTTCGAGTTAGTAATATTAGATCAGATCGTTCACTTGTTTCATTGCTTAAAACTCGTCTTGGATCAGTTAAATGTAAATTCATATAAGCAAAAGACCATCCATAAAAATCATTCTGTTCAATACGTGAAAAAAAATCAGGAACAAGATCATCACCAAGTTCACCTCTTTCTTGACATGTTGCATATAGATCATTAGTAATTGGATGAAATGCTAAACCAACAACATTTCGAAGACCATAAGCAAATGTTGTTTGATTACTACCATTGATATTAGCTTGTTGAATAGAAGCTCATGGTAATGGTTCAACATCAACATTAGATGCTGAACCAATACTCACGAATATTCGATCATCCATAGGTGATATAGCGATAGTTCGTGTTGAATGACCATTTTGGGGATAAGGCGTTATTACTTGACCTGTACCTGTAATTTGTCGACTCCCATTAGTCCAAGAATAATGTCGAACAGTATCTCGATTACCAACATAAAAATATTCATTGATAAAAGCCATACCAAATGAATAATTGAGTCCATTAGATGCATCAACAAATGTTAAACGTTGATCTGGATAACCATCATGATCCTTATCTGCTAGACAAGAAATTCGATTAGCACTCGATTCACTAACAAGAATATCATCTGTAGGTGTATAAATAAGATAACGTTGTGATAAGAGTCCACTCATATATAACTTCACAATGAATCCATCAGGAATGTAAACAAGAGGTTTTGAAGGTACCCGAATGATTTGAGGTGATTTAGAAACTGATGATGAAGCATAGGGTTGTGGAAGGTCTTCAATGGTTATGTTGATCGGCCATGGAACAAAAGTGACATTTTTACAGTTGATTTGATGAAATACAAGTAAAAAGGCTAGTGAAATGAGACGAAACTCGAATGGGGAACACATTTTTTGTGAGTTCACACTGCTTTCATTCTCGCAGATTCGTTGTATCACCAGCCAATCTCATATTACTTATAGACTGGCAAACAAGCGGCAAAAAAAATGTAGATGTACAATCAAAACGTTTGGAAGGCCATTTCGTGGCATACATATGTGGGTCATTTCTTTTCTCCCTTTCTTTCTTCTTCATCACCATATGAATGTCTATGCTATTTTTTCTTGGTACATTAAACTCCAACGAACAGTTATGCAACGAGTATTAAACGTACGTAATGTATGTGCATACATGTGAATCTGTATCAAAATTTTATATTACAAGCCAACTACGAGCGGTGAACTATACATTTACGTTATTACCAAATATAAATCTTTTGCGGTTATTGATCTAAAGATTTATTTTATTTCAACTTCGAAAATAGGGCGTGGATATGCATCTCAATCTACACCCACCCACACCCTCCCACACACCCACATCCTCCCACACCCACACCCTCATAAGTCAAAGTTAGTATGAGCTTGCTAATGAATTTTCACATGGTGCTCTCGTTGATTTTATTATTGTTAATGAACCATCGTTGTATTGTGAGCAATCCATATAGATTTTATTCGAGTCTAGAAAAATGTTCTATCGTACTCAAATTGGAATGCATCCTACAAAAAAGTTCTAAATCTATATAAGAGACTAATTCTATAATAAATCTTTTTCGTGAAAATTTTATGAAACAAGCAATATGTTAAGTGCTTGTTCTACTAAATCGGGTGTAATTGAGACTTTGATCAATTAATACAAATTGATCACATACGTTTACTTGTCCACAGTAAATTACAGTTTATTCTGCTTATTTTATTTTTTTCATCGTACAAATGATACTGGAACGATCGGAATGTCGGCATAAAATTAGAAAAAAAAATTTAATTTGAAAACTGTTACTGGCACAATCAATTTTATGATGAAGTAAACTTCATCAGCATAAATTTTTGTCGTGTCTCTCTCTCAATTGAATAATATTAAGTTCATTTCTTTGACCACGACTTTTCATAACTTCAAACCGACGAACATATGAAAACTCAAAAATTCGTCTTCTTCAGCATAAAATGAATGTGATTGAATAAACCCAGGTCGAACTCATTCCATCGGATCGGATTGTTCTTCCGATAGGATCCGACGAGATTCAACTGTCGGATTGTTCGTCCTGGGTATTTATCTGAATTTCATTTAATACTGAAAGGAACTCTTATTCGAATTTTCTCCAAGAAATATTAATTCGTACAGATTACCATTGACACAATGCATTAAGAGAATCGTTATCAGACAATTGTATTTCTTCGAAGATATTGATCAGCCATACCTGATTTGATATTTCAATAAACAATATGATAAGTAAATGAAAGTTTCTGAAGAGAATTGATGATGAATCGTGGACATGAAAACAACACTTTTGCTTTTTCATGAATGATTGCTTCTAGAGTAACATTCATTGTTACATAGAAAGATTTTTTGTATGGTTCCCATTCTATTGTCTAAAGTATGCTGGATCACTTTTAGAATCATTACAATCATATTTAGCGATCCTGACTATGTGTTAACCTTAGGAACAGTAGCCACTCCAAAATAGATAAGAAGTATCTTCTCAAAATCTCGAAAAGAAAGCAACAAGGACATGAATCATTCCAGATTTTGCTTATCCATGTCAAAGTTTCTTCTCGCTCTCCCTAGTTGAATGATGGTGTACCGACGATCTTTTGCCACTAAGAGCAAACGCCATTGGTTAACCGTCTGTGTAGCGCAGATTATACCGAACAGTACGGTAGCTATTCTCGATAGACTCTATCTAACGACACAAGACTCGTCTCAAAATCTTCATATCATCTAGAGAGGTTCCTTTGTAAGTACTGTATAAATACTGAGATGATTATTGATTTTAGATCATCGCTTATTTTTATTTAAATATGAGTTCATATGAAATGTAACCATTGATGATTTTCAAGAAAGAGAAATAAATGTTATTCTTAGACTTTTTTTTTACTCAAAATGAAATAGGATTTGTTTTTAATAAATCAACAATGAATTTATGTAATTCGAGCACTCACCAATCATACATAAATATATTTTAACATTTACTAATTTATGAAAGGATTAGATTCAATTTTTAAGACTTGATGACTACTTGAACGAAGTTATACTAAAGAAGGCAGTTGATTGCACGAATCACGAATATGTTAAAACGTGATCCGATATGCTATATTTATCAACTTCAAAGTCTGTTCTATTCGAATCCGTATTCTTTGTAATAAATTCGTTTCTATTTAAAAAATAATCAATAGAGACTGGACATTCGAAAAGTTTACATTTAACACTTCTATCAAGTTTTTTTTCTTTTCTGACTTATCGATTAAAATAAAAATAATTAATATCCCATTCGACGATATTCCATCAAATGCGACTTGTCTATTTGATTTGTGTTTGTAAAATATAGCTAGATCAATTTCTTTAACTTTTTGCTAATGCTTTATAATGCGCTGACATTGACATCGAAATATTTTCTTTTTGTGTTCTACTAATTGAAACAGATTCTAATATTAATTCTCTTTCAGTATGCTCTTGGTACATTACTCATGTTGAATACGCATGAAAAATTATTTATATTCTTTTTTCGTATACCTGTTGATTATTATCGTCTCTCTCTTTATTGATCGATATAAGCTATGCCAAAAAGTTTTTAGACGTTTGAGAGTTCGTCTTGGATAGATTCAAGTCACACAAGACGATAATTAAAGTATATATGCATTTATCATCTAAAATATGTATGGTCAGTTTAAGATTGCATCATGCATCCCAATATAAAAACATGCATCAGCAGTTAATTATCATTTTCCGCATTTTTCTCTGCCAAATGTGACCGAATTTTAAAAGACAAATTCAGATGTGCACTCACGACATTTACACGATTTTAGCAAGTTTTTTTTTCGATTCGAAATGATGGTCAATTGCTGATAATGAGTGACTGACTTAAATTATGGCTCATGTGTTGAGTGAAAGAAAAAGAATTTGCCATAGCAACTAAGCGAATGATATTTAATAAGTCCACTGCTATGCTGCGTGCAGTAAGCCGCTTTAATGAATGCATAATTACATAGTAGCTCAAAGGAGAATATTTATTCTCGATATTGAAAGCTACCATGTTGCAATGTTTATTGCTCGATGAAGAAAATAGCTTGAGTTAGAAAGAAAAGCTTATTTTCAGGGCTGCGATTGTGTGCTGCCATATCATTTTTTGTTGACAACCATTCGTAACAATTCTTGATAATATAAGCGAATATTTGTGCTGCATGTTCGCTTTTCTTCTTATTATTATTAATCTTTAAATAACGGTGGGACTGACAAGTATTGTTTTTGTTATTGTAATATACATAGCGTCTATTGATATCAAGGCATATATTGCATATATTCTGTTGCACATTGAATTATGACAAATGGCTTAGCTAAGAAGAATAATATACTCATTTAATATTTTATGAAAGATGATATCATTCTATAAGTAATCTTATGGATTCTTCTTATATTTCTGATTCTTATTGATTTAGTGCAAGATATATTCGTACGATAAATGAAGATAAATTTTATGCAAATTCTAACACAAGTGCTAAGTTTATGGTAGCTATTTACTGTAACGGTTTTTTATAGAAGAAGTGTTAGCGCTGATGGAACTACGCTTTATTTAGCTTCTTTATATCATTAATTGTATCGTTTACATATAAAACACACGTTTATATACGCAAGTAGAATAGAGAGGATCAAGAGAAGAGAGCACAACGAAGAGGTAAGAATAATCAAGGAGAGAAAGATAGTTGAATAATACATAGTTATGACAGAAAGAAGGACAAAGATATACTAAGACTATGACAATGAAGGGACAAAACATAAAAAGAAGAAAGGAAAAGAATGTGATATAAAAATGACAAAGGAAGGTTAGACATCATCTACGAACAGTTAATTCAACCAACCAGTCAGAGTAGATAATAGCACATAATAAACTCTACCGAAAGCGTCACATTTACTGAATCAGTACTATTAGAATGCTTGAAAAGTTTCTTATTATCAATGGATCACAGGTATTTAGTCGAGTACTATGTTGAAAAATGTCTCAGTATATAAGTACTTCAAATAAACCTGCAAGGTATCTGATTAGAGTTTTTGTCACTACTCAATGTTCCGCCTTGAAAGTATTTCCTCAGATTAGCTAATTGAGAATTTTGAAGCATTCAATTTCTAACTCCTCAAGAGTTCATTGGCTACTATAAACTCAGTACTACCACTAGAGACAATGGCCATCACAGTCAACTGTCAAGCTTCATCTTTCTATTAGTAAAAAAATTTGGACGATGTATAAATAGAATGTATAATTATTCTACGATTGAATCTGTATGAAGTAATTTTGAGATCTCGCGTTCGTCTTTTGCATTATTCTCATCCGAAATTCATTTCCTTTTAGATTATGGAACTAAAAATAACAACACACTAAATAATCCGTTTTAAATTTTGAAAGTATGAGCCTGAATGCAGGTAGAAGTTCAAACTCGTCGCTCACCCAAGAATATTGTCGATATTGATCGCAGAAAAAGCCAATAATACATTTGTTAAATATATACAAGTAACTGTAATAGGGCCATTATTTTAAGCTCGTGTTTTTTCTTTGAGAATACATGATATATGCTCGATATTCTACAAACATCTCAAAATATTTTTTTTATTACTTTCTAAGTATTTTCGTCGTATTGGACTTAAATTTTTTAGTTCTCTATATAGTATTTATTTCACCGGTACAAAACGCCATCTCTGATTTTAGTGATTGTCCCTCTTGTTATTCGTTCGTCCTTCTCGCNTGAATCAAGAGTTTTGGTTCACACAAATAAACAATAATATTTCATTATGTTAATTGTTTCGAACATGAATATGATGTTTTAGAATTCTTATAGATACGTAAGTATTTTAATCTTCTGAAAAA